GACAGCCTTGTCACTCATAAACCAGAGAAATGTAAAGGAAGGATGAAAATGATTAAATACATTTCCATAGTGGAATCAATTAATCTCAATGAATTCATGAACTTGTGCACAACTAAACCCTTCATATGTATCACAACTGATCAAGTTTCATTGAATTAAGTATATTTTATTAGTAGTCATTAACTTAGGTGTCAAGTACAGTAAAGAAAACGAATTAAAACTGTTACTTTCCTGGAGTAAATAAAGATTGAATTAAAACTGTTACTTTCCTGGAGTAAATAAAGATTGAAAATGTCTTTAAGGGTATCTATTTCCATTGTAAATATACGCAACATCGCTCAACACAAAGATCATATTCTTGGATATTATTTACTAGTTCTGTTAAAAGCTTCTAGGAGACGTGCTTTCAGAAAAACAGTCATGGAATCAAAATTTATTAATTAAGATAATGGCAATCGTGCCATGATTTAAGAAGAACATAGGCAGTACTGAAAATCAAAAGGACAATTAGATGCATGAGATCTCCATACCATAAAAGAGTGAACACGACAAAAAACAAACCCAGACCTACAAAACGAGAATCAACTTCTGGATGTCTGACCAATATCTCTTCGACAGAATATACGCAAAAACGACATGTCACATTTAAAAACATTTATTCTCGTAAACCAGATTATAACAAATATTTTACTCACCCATTTCAGCTGAAATCCAGTGAAAAACCACAATAAATTTAATTTAAAAACAGAAAAACATCAGCACATAACATCACACACGGGCGGCCATCTTACTATCAGTGTTGCCCAAATAAATAAATCATCGCTTACAAATCCTATATGCTCTTATAAACTTACAATATTGTTCTCACTATATTTCCTTTATTTTTTTTCATCCTCTAGGCTATAATATTTAAGAGGTTAAAGATGCTAGGGTTAAAGTATGAAATTGCCGTTTCGTACTGAAAAATAAGAACAATTTATTTGGTAAGCAAAAATATATTTGTTTAATCAAAGTATTTTTCCTCACTATCTATACCGTTCTGCAATTTAATCGGAAAGTCATTAGAACCTTTGCGATAGAACTCTTGCCTGAACTCACAAGCTATGTGAAGGTATTTTGTACGGCTTCCTGGGAATACATTTTTTTCCGTGCTAAAAATAATCCAAATCACGAAAAAATGATAGTCGGTTGGAACGAGGTCTCGAGTATATGTAGGATGACGGATGGTTTCCAACTGCAAGTCTTGCAGTGTTAAAACTGTTTCTCGAGCAGTGTGAGGTGTTGCGTTATCATGGAGCCGTTATCATGATGAAGCTGTTTTGCTGCGATTTTCGCCCTTATTGTTCAAATGCCATGAGATGCCTTGCTTTCTCAAACTCGTATCGGAGATGCAAAACTTTGTAAATAACTAAAAACTAAAATTAACTAAATTAGTGATTGGTCTTCTTCGTGGTTCTTTCGCACGGTGCCTTCGTAAAACGGCCCATTCACTACTACTATGGCAGTCCGCCGCACAGGCAGGAAATTGCTCACTCACAGTTTATTACGAAAGCTTTGCATTGCAAAGAATTGCAACAACCTGCAACCATGGGTCAAATCTGTCGCAAAATGAACTATCGCACATTTAAGCTTGCGCGCAACCGTCTTCGCACTATCGGCATTAGCGTAATCGACATTCGCACTCACGTAGTACACCCGCATTACGCGGCTGACGTCAAGGCAGACTGCAATGCATGATAATGTATGCCCCTTTTAGACGTATCCGCTTCAAACACAGCATTAACATTACGAGCAGTTTCTGCTATGTTAACCCCATGTGTGGAAACTCGTGTTCGATAGATAATTACGCTGATTTTCGCTGTATCCATCTTCACCTTAAGGCTCAACTCACACTGGCGCAGAGTCGAAGCATCGCGTCGCGTCCTGTTTTTCAACTCCACCGCCAGGCGACGCGCGACGACACTCGCATTAGTGCGCCGGGATCACAGTTTGGTCGGCGTCTGACGCCTCACGGCGACCAAGTGACACGCGTCGACACGCGTCGCCACTCGATTCCATATTTGCAAAACACAAATTTGTACCTTAATAATTGGAAAATATAGATGAATATGCTATAGGCGAAAAACATGACGCTTCGACTCTGCGCCAGTGTGAGTTGAGCCTAAAAGCTGAATGTAACGTGTCGAGTCGAACAATCAAATATCGTGTTCTATAAATTAAGAAAGTTTTAGTTTTCTTGTGAAAAAAGTTTCCCTCTGAAATCTGACACCAAGCCGATTTAATTTTAATTTAAAATGGCCAGTATGATAAATCGATAAATCTGCAATTTAATATTTAAGCCCCTATTATTATTACCTACCATCCAAGATTATTATAGTTATTACTAAGATTATTACCGTATTGATCGGCTTTCTTCTTTGTGATTTATAAATTTCTAAATCAATTTTAGGACACATTGTGCTTATTGTGCATTGCTGTAGAAACGATACATCACAGGCCAATGTGCCTAAGCACATTATTTTTGTTGGTGACATAAGGTGATGTCTTTTCGAGAGCTTTCTTTCTTTCTAAAGCAGGAAATATTTATTGACGACTGACTAATAGATATTAACTAAAAATGTTGTTCCAAAAATGCCACAATGTTTTTTTTTTTTTTTTCAAATAAACTATACTTTTTTTATTAATGATTTTTGCGGCTCTGGTTACTAATGATACTATAAGTGCAGTGTTACCAGAATAAACATCTGTTTTTCTTTTCTTGTCAAAGGCTGTCAAAAAGGTTGGAATTCAGTATGTTTTCTGAAAATAAATGAAATCTATTATAATCTTGTTGAAATTCGTAAAAAAATTGTGGTAATTAAAGTAATTCTAAGTGTTCAGTATCTATAGTTCATAATATCTTTCATATTTCAGCTTGAAAATGGTACAGCGGCTTACGTTCAGACGACGTTTGTCGTATAACACAAAGTCGAACCAGAGGAGAATGTAAGTGTATTTCTGTTGTTTAAGCGCAGATAGCCTCTTAAATTACGCAAAACACGTTACATGCCCATTCTTGCTCACGTATTGCAGTATTTTGTGCTTATTTTTACTTGGTTCTGTAAAACTAACCTTAATTTTTTTTTACTACAAATAAATCAGTGTTTGAGAATTCTTCTTTGGAAACTAAACTTATAATGTTCTATTCTAAGTTGGAAGCTTGAGCAAAGTGGGGCGTGAGATACAAAGTTTAGTTACAATTAGTGTTTTGGGTTCGTAAACATAATTTTCATTTTGCTATGCAAGAACTAAAGTTTTGTTATAGAATTGAATGGCAGATTTCACCTAGTTTATATACATCCTGGCTTATAGGAAGAAGAAATCGATATCAACTCGAAAATGAATACAGCTTTCTTTAATTATTTCAGAGTAAGAACCCCTGGTGGACGTCTGGTATATCAGTATGTCAAAAAGCCCAAGAAGATCCCGAGATGTGGCCAGTGCAAAAGCAAGTTACGTGGTATCCAGCCTGCACGGCCCGCTGAACGTTCTCGCCTCTGCTACCGCAAGAAGACTGTCAAGCGTGTCTATGGTGGTGTTCTCTGCCATAAATGTGTGAAACAGCGTATTGTCAGGGCCTTCCTCATCGAGGAACAGAAGATAGTGAAGGTCCTCAAGGCGCAACAAGCTACCAGTAGCAAAGGCAGCAAGAAGGTTGCCAAGTGAACATCTGTTTAGGGTAGAATAAAAACTTAAAAAACTTACATGTTTTTATTCTAATTTTAAAGGTATACAAATTAATAACCCTGAAAATAATGACTTAATGATGAATTGAATTTTTAGAAAAATGTACCCTAAATTTTGTCCTGTTTATAGTCACACAAAACTAAATCAACTTTATTTTTTTTTAAATGTCAATTTCATTTCAATTGCTCTTTTAGTTCCTTGTATTAATGCTGAAAAAGTAAAATTTATATATGTTATAAATAATTAAATCTGCAAATTTTGCTGAAATGTTTGACAGTTGTGGTTGATTCTCGTCTAGCAATACTCTTTCTTATATTACGCAACAAATAGCTGAACCTGGTTTATTTCTATGAATGTAGACACTACCTTAAAAGAATTAATTTTTTGATTCTATGAATTAATGATATTAATTCTATGGATCCATAGTCTAAGCAATCATCAATGGTGGGGAAAAAGGTGTTCCACATACATAGATACATGTATAAATATGGCTACGAGTGATATGGCGTTGTTAAAACAATCAAATTTTAATTAATTTATCTCGTTTTGAATTCTGTATTTCTGGAAATTGTTTTACTGCATTGTAGCACAAAACTGCTCTTCTAAGAAGTTAAACTTGGCTTTTAAAGCTGATTGGTGGATGAAATAAGTATGGTGGCATTACTTCCCTGGATGAACTCTTTCACAAGGAGCTCTATTGCTATTAAAATTATGATTATTATTAACGACCAAGATGCTAACAATGCTAAAGCAGCTGGTATTGCTGATGAGGCTTTATGCTTATGTTACTATTGATGCTGATGGTGCTAATGATGCTGGGCTGGTGGTGCTGATGTTGCAGATGATTGTGATGGTGCTGATGCCCATATCGATGTCATGCCCGACCACTGGTCATCATCAGCACTATCTGCATCATCGGCACCATCAGAATCATTAGGACCTTTAGCATAACCATCGTCAGCTCCGTGCGCATTATATGCACCATCAGAATTATTAGCGTTATCAGCACTGTTAGCGTTAAATATGAGCATCTTCGTTATTATCATCATTCGGCTAGAGAAGTACCGCCACCATAAGTACTTATTCCGAAAAGAAAGTTTACTGTAATGAAAAGTCAGTTACCTACTGCATTTTTTTTGACATGAATTACTTTAAAATCCTACTTTGACTTACAATATCGTAGGATAAAACTACTAGGTGGAGTAGCTTTGTCCTACGATGCAGTAAAAACATTTTCGGAAATCCGGAATTCCAAAAAAAGTAGTGAATTAAAATTTGGTGGTTTTAACAACTCTATGTCACTCTTTGTAGTTATATTCTACACATGTATCTTTGTAGTTATGTTCTATACATGTATCTACAGATTTGGTACACATTCTCCGACCTACGGTAATCATCAGATTCCTCTCCACTACCGACCCGTTTTTTCCTATGTCCATATGGACAAGGATAACCTTTTCATAACATACGAAAAGGTTTCGTTTGTACATAAAGTTATTTAACTTGCCATTGGCTCCATTGCTGCTGATAAAAGCCAAAAAAGAAAAAATGTCTGCTTCCTAGTCTATGGTATGGATAAGTTGCTCTAGCGATGCGACGAGTTGTACTTTTTTCAACTCGAGTTGACGCGACTGCTAACTCGAGTTATCTCGACTCAGTGTCTGACAGAGCAACCGCGATTAGAACACGAACCGACAATTCACCGTCGCGTAGTGTTGTAATTTGAAAAAACTAAATACTTTTTTTAAATATTTTTGGAAAAAAACACGGCACTCTGGTTTTGTGTTCTAAATTTGGTTTTTTTTGAGAAAAAGGTAAATTGAATAACTAAAAGAAAAAGACACTAGGGGTCGTATTCTAGAACTCTACTCAATGCTCAAGTCAGGATTGCAATTGAAACACAAGCACTGGAAACACGACCCTAATGGCAGGGACTTGAGTATAATTTCGAATCCTTTAAACTATACTCAAATCCTGACTTGAGAATTGAGTAGAGTTCTGGAATACGACTCTGAGGGTTAACATGAAGTTTAAATATGTTTTTGTAAATATCGCCGCCACAAAGAGGATAGGCAATTTGAGGCGGCGTGTTTGGATTGACTCGGGATTCCTTAAAACGGGCCGATACGGGTATTTTAGTTCGAGATTCGTATAATTTCGCGTTTTAAACTTCGATTAAGGCACATTAGCACTATCCTATTCCACTTTAAACTAGATTTCACAAAATAATTCAAAGTCAAAATAAAAACGACACTTTTCCCTCCAAAAGGTCCACGGCGAATCTCTTTGTATTAATAATAAAAAAAAAATACAATTGTCATGTTTTTATTTCCATACAAAAAAAAATATTTCTTTTCAAGTTTTTTTTTCACCTAAAAAAAACGGTTTTTTAACAACACTACGTACCGAAGCGAGTGAGCTCGAGTTCATAAAAAAGTAACTCGATTGACCTCGCTTATCGCTACGTTGGTCTATGCTCTGTTTTTTTTTTGCCTATACCGCATTCCGTACAGTTATCTGTGATTCCGTTCCGTTCGTTTGTGCGAAGAAATTTTGTATAGTGAAATAAATTAATTTTATTATTATTTAGTCTTGCCTAACTATTTCATCGTGAAACTTCTAATCATGTCGAATCCGTGGAAAAAAGTTACTGCGCCTGTGGAATCGCAGAATCTGACTGATATTATGTCAGAGGAATATGCAAGAGGCCTTCAGGTGAAAGAAGAATTGAAATTTGCTGAGCAAATATCTGACTTACTAGTGAGTACTTCCGAAGAAATGACCCCTGAAATCCTGAAGCAGATCGAGGAAGCCAATGCTAAAGAGTATTGTGACTCTGATGCCCTAATTGCACAAGTGTTGCAATGTCAATTCGACAAAGAGCATGACGATGAAATTAAACGAGTGGAGAAAAAGAGGAACGGAGATGCGAAGGTATCAATATCTTACGATAATTACCGAAGCGTACCCGACCATTTGGTATATGACTCGGACGAGGAAGAAGATGTTGAAGTTGCTAATAAAAAAGACTGGGATCGGTTTGAAACTAACGAGAGAGAGTTCGCAAGTATTCCGAAACAAGGCTTCGCTATGAGAGGTGGAGAGATGGTTACTAAGCATGACAGCGTTTTAAGTGGCAGAAGGAATGCATGCCGCGTGATGGCATTCCCTCCAGAGGTTTGTACCGGCGACGGCGCGGGATTCGACATGAAACTGCCAAACTCTGTGTTCAATCATTTGAAGGAACAAACCAGACAACACCAGGCTCGCAAGCATAAAATGTTAGACCGTAAGGAGAGCCAAGCAACCGCTGAAATGGGTATGGATGAAAGAACCAGACTCATACTCTTCAAACTTATAAATAATGGTATTTTGGAGGATATCGATGGAATTATCGCTGCAGGAAAGGAATCTTTGGTTTTACATGCTAATGGAGATACTTCTTACCCAGATTTGGTAGTACCGAAAGAATGTGCTATTAAAGTATTTAAAACTACTCTTAATGAGTTTAAAACACGTGACAAGTATATAGAGGCAGATTATAGGTTTAAAAATCGCTTCTCTAAGCAGAATCCCCGTAAGATTGTGCACATGTGGGCTGAGAAGGAAATGCATAACATGAAGAGGATGCAAAAGATTGGAATGAACTGCCCCGAGATGGTGTTGCTGAAGAAACACGTCCTTGTGATGTCATTCATTGGTCGGGATAGAAAGCCAGCTCCTAAACTCAAAGATGTAATCTTGAAGCCAGAGAAATGGCAGAGTGTATACAATGAGATTGTAGAAGCAATGCATAAGTTGTACAATATTGGACACTTGATTCATGCAGATTTATCTGAATATAATATACTGTGGTGGGAGGACAAGTGTTGGTTTATTGATGTCTCACAATCAGTCCAGCCAAACCATCCTAGTGGCTTGGAGTTTCTTCTGAGGGACTGCAATAATATTGCCAATGTAAGTATAACCATAACCAGAGTGTCCTACACTTTTCTTTCATAGGTTCACCAGTTTTTAAATGCAGTTAATAAACATAAATATTTTTAATTTTAGTACATATTTCACAACAGCAGACATTATTGATGTAATTATGTGGTATCATAGTGTTTGTATGAGTGATATTTAAACCATATCACATTGTATGATGTTAACTGATTATGATTCATTTCATGATAATATTTCGTTACACATTTGATATTCTGTTATGTAGTCCTCTGAAAATCAGAGTCTTCGAGATTCTGGAACAGCGCAGTAAACAATGTCATTTATATTATTTTTATTATTTATTACGCTTGGGTTATATATTATATTTCTTATTTTATATTTAAGTTGTATATTTTAATTATTTATTGTACTTGTACAGTGCATATGTACTGTATTGTAGTTTTTATGGAACAAATTTTTTTGATTGTATTTTAATTCAACAGTTCTTTGAGAAGAAAGGAATTCCAAATATGAAGACAGCTGAAGACTTGTTCAAATCAATCACTGGTTTTGAAGAAGTTGATGTTAACCTGCTGGCAGGGGTGCACACCATATACAATTCCTTGTCTTCAAGATTTGAAATCTCCTTGGATGACAACAGGAACACTGGTTACCCATTTGAATACTGCTGGGAGAAGGCCGTTGACAATAAAGCTTCAAAGAGTGACAAAAGTGGTAATGAGGATTCCGATGAAGATGAATTTGAAGAAATGTGGGAATACTCAATCAAGGCCAAAAATGTTGACAATGCTGCTGACTTTGCTAATGAAGTTACTCTTCCAATTCCTAAGAAAAATGAAGAAGGTCATTCCAGGGACCTAATTATTGACAAAAAAGTCAATTTTGCTAATGAAATTGAAGTGATTATACCAAAATCAGAAAATATAAGTATTTCTCGTATTGATAAAAAGTCTTAAAAGTTTTGAGTATACATTTTATCCAATTTGATAATCAGTTTGAAATCAGTGTTTGTAATCTGATTATAGGTGTTAATGTTGTACTTCAAAAAAATCCAAAAAGAATGGTATTATACAATTTAACAGATTACAAGTTTTATGAAATAAAATGGGGAAATTAAGATCTGTATTTTTTATTAAATATCTCATAACTAAAGTAACAACGTCATTTATTTGAAAAAATAAAGAATTTTAAATTGACTAGTATTACACTTCCATTGCTTCCTTGTGAAATACTTTGACTAAGTAATTATTACCATAAAATGCTGACCAACTTAAGTAATTCATGAAATTTTGTAGCCATCCCTTTGCTGTGTTCCTTCATCTGAATACCAAAGGTGTCTGCCATTACACAACAATGTGTTACGCAACTACATATAGTAACCGTTTCATGTGACAAAACAAAGTCTGTTCTCTCAACATTAAACTATATCTACACTAATGACAAATGCCGCATCCTCTTTTCCTTAATTAGAGTGTCCAGCAAATTATTCTGGTGCGTAGTCAAGTACTGTCTGACTTCAGAGCTGACGCTGATCAGTGAGGAGACGTCTGCTGTCATACAGGAGATTATTATTGACTGGAGTTTTAGTTGCAGGTCAGTGTTAAAGGGGATTGCTGAAAAATACACGATTTTAAACATTGATGTTATACAGTCATTAGGATAGATTTGCTGACTGATATAGATTAGGTACCTTCAGTTTCAGTATCATTAAGCAGATCTATGAAGAGCTGCCTCAAGGAGACTGGCTTGTTGTCATCAGCCGGTTCCACTAACAGATTAAGTAAAACCCTGCTGACTTGAATCCTGGAAAGTGGAATAACTTTCAATAAGTATATTTTGCTATTTCTGCACTCTTATGTAAAAATTACATTTATGATGATGAAATCATATCAATGAATATCTAATTACCAATAACACAAACTTTGTTGTTGTTCTTTTTTTTCTTCATTGCGCAAGAAACAAGCATATTTTATAGATACTGTTATCAAGTGCATCTGTCAAGTGATAGTATAAATACATACTCAGTAAGAATATCATCTGGCATATTGAAGTTTGAGTCACAGATTTTGTTAGCTGTCTCCAGTGCTATATTGAATTTCTCTGAAAATTAAATTGTAATTTAAAAATTACATGTATATGAATATTGCACCATTAAGTTAATTAATATATTTTCATGAGTCATTTTTACGTACAAATTTACTACATCAGACAAAGAAAGCAGATTGTAATCTTTTACTAGAAAAACAAGGTGTACAATCATTTGGTTAATTTTAGTGTGACTAAAGTCACAAGTTATAATTAGTTTGTTATTTATAACTGTAATGTTGTTTCAGAGAAATAAGATTTTCTTTTACATTGACTAAAAATAAGAAATGGAAGGGGAAAAGAAACACCATCACAAAGGTCTAAATGGCACGTACAGACATCAGCACATTCAGATACACATTGACAGATCTTGTTCCATTGGATGGTGATAGTCAAACAAGGTATAGCTCACATAAGTATAGCTTGATGTACTGTTGGCTGTACTATAGCCACAAAGAAATAAATAATAAATAATACCACAATCAATCAGCAAATTGACCAAATTCTTCATGAACATGAGTTTTCTAGTTTTGTCATCCACTGTCTCCAAAGCCTGTTCATAATATGCCACTGCCTCAAGTTTGAGATTCAGCATTACTAGACTGTCAGCCAGCTCCATGAGGATTGAGGTGCGCATAGGGGACTTGTCTGGATATTTGTTAAGAGCTTGCATAAAACAGCCTATCGCAGCCTGAAATTTTGTATTCTGGTGTACTTGCTATTTTACGATTTATTTATTTATAGCCTTTATTGCTAATAATGTACATACTAACTTATCTCACACAGAAACATTGTATGACATGCTTATTGTATAATCCTTATTATTCTCAAATTTGTTGTCTCTGTATCTTCAGCTTATCCTAAGATAGGCCTCTTCCAGAGGTTTCCATTTCTCCCTATCTTGCGATTAAGTACCAGTAAAACGCTCTGGGCACTAATTCCCAAAGCAATAAAATAAAATCTATGTCTTAAGTTTTTGCAATTATTTCACTTAATAAATTGAACAATTTTTTCAGATTATATATTATTATTAAATTGCATAATTTGTTTTTTTCAAACAAACCAACGTTTTGGGCTCGTTACAGGTCTCGTGGTCACCGGTGACTACTTGGTACTTGGTACTTGGTGCAACGGGCTGGTTTCCGCAACTCGACGACAAAGCGCCTATTTTGCGTGTGACCGGTGACTATCACCATGGGAAATGTAAAGGGCCCGAAACATTGGTTTGTTTGAAAAAACTAACACAAGCAATTTAGATTTTTAAAAATAGTTTCATTTCCGCTATATCTAAATGAAACTAACTAAATTAAATTGGGTATAGATTTAAACATACATTTGCCACATTGAACTAATTTTGAAATAAAGTTGAACTTAAAGTACCTCTAAATTCTCCCTGTCGGGGCTGTAAAACTTCAACATCTTTAACTTCTTCTCAGCCTTCATGAACTGCCGTGCTGCAGCAAGATAATGCTCTGCTTCACCAAGAAAGTTTCCCGCCGTCGCTTCACACTTCGCAGCTCCTACATACGCATGACCCGCGAACGCTGGCTGCTCCGAATGTTCACACTGAATCGCCAATGCTATGAATTCATTTGTCGCTTCAGATATATTCGGTTTCCGCATAAAACGCCTTAAATAAAAAATTATGACGGATTTTTAACTTTTTACAACGAATATACAGGTGATAAATAGCATAAAATGGTAAATAAACACAGAAATCTTGTACCAGATGACAGTAAAAGTTGGGTATGAAAAATTACTGGTTTTAGTACGTTATTTACTTACTTTTTCAGTTTAGTGTTTATATTCATGTATTGCTCGTTGAAACTAGCTCCCAAATCTGTAGACATTGTGTGTGTTGTAATAAAATTGATGAATTCATGAAAATAAAAATGTTTACATTGAAAAGATGACTGACATCGATCAAAGTGATAAGTTTATATTATGCAAAAGAGATGACAACAGTCTTCCTTATTTTTCTTATGCTCTAGTTCTGTCTAGCAAAGTAATAGCTCTTCAATTATTCTTAAAAAGCGCACCAGAAAATGTGCTTTTTCGTTACGTGATTAATATTATTTCTGGAAGTTTTTTCTTGGATTTTCAGTTCCCGTTTTAGCCACTTACTTGTTTTTAGTAAGGAGAATCTTATTTATCCACAAAATAATGGAATTTGGAAACGGGTTTGGGAAGGTGGAAAAAAGGCATAGGTGAGGAACTATAAGATATAAATAAACAATTAGGGCATATAAATATATGAGAAAATGTATCATACATACATAAGGTACAGCACTAATTTGTAAGATTGTTTAATCATCACGAATGATTTATGCAAAAATGTGTAAATATAACTGTGACAACAACACTATGCAATACAGCTAAGCTACGATAGTAACAAATTCCAACATTCTTCCAAAAGTCTTCCTTCTTGGCATTCGTACTTTTGCCTATAATGTAAATTATACTAGTGATACATCATTGACCTACCACGAAATAAGCTTCTCACGAAACTTTAACAGTACATTTAGTGAATTTATTAATTGTACAAATAATACTAGCCAAATAATTATTGCCCTGTGGCTAACGGTAAATCCAACAAATGGGACACAACGACGATATAGACACTCTGTTTGAACATTGTCATATAAAAAAAATATTTTTAACTCGAGACAGATTACTCGATTCTAAAAATAGAAGATTCGACGAAATCACTAGTTGAATTCATTTGAAATGTTGGCCAAACTACGTTACACCTATCAAGGTAGCTATCCTATGACATATTTCTGGTGTAATATCATGTCTTATGTGTAAACTAGAGAAAGAAACATGGCTTTCGTGTATTACGATATATCGATTATACATATAATCAAGTCGCTCCGTCCTACATCATTACCAGACCTTAAAATATAGCTAAAATAATATATAAAAATATTATGGAATCCATGTTGGACTATAAATCTAAATATCATTAAATGGTCGTATTCAAATTACTCAAGATTTTGATAGAAAAAACATATTTTCAAAGAAATAAATTATTATAATTTAAAATTTTATATGCTAAGGCTGAGTGGTTGCCTATTATATTGGAATGTAACAAACGATCACGAAACTAACCCAAACACACCTACTCAGTTATTATTTTACATGTTTACTATTTCGAGAAATAGCATTCATTGGAAGAGTTATGCTGTTGCGAAAGAATGACATATATGATGATTTTTCTTTTATTAAAATTAGAAACTTCATAAATTTTGACATGCTCGACCAAAAGTTTCTTATTAATACGTAACGAATATTCTCCGTAATAAATGTCAAAAGAAATACTTTGACGTGTCCTGTATTTGGGTTAATTTACTTTTCGTGTATTTCTGTATTTTACGCGATGAATTCCTTTTAATAATAGTTTTGTGCGACTTAAATAGACCTAAGGGAACATTGCGAGATGGATTTCTTTAAGAGTGGACTGAAAACTGTGTTGGGAACCCCGGAGTCAGGCAATCTTCCGTCGCCAGCCGAAACCGTGAGTTTTCTTTTAATTTTATTAGTATTTATACTAAAAGAACGTTTGCTATTACATATTGTAATATAAGCATCTTTTCAAATTCGATTTTACTCTACTTCACAGTGCCATATGGTAGTTGTTACATAAAATATTGTTTTCGAAAATCTCACATTATTTCTCTTGTAACGTAATTAAATCAATGTGACCGGGCGATAAAAAGTGTTTCACAGTTCGCCGACTCCGCAATTGAACTTACGTACCTTCAGATTAATTATATTATTTGTTATTCTACATACATGTAATTTTTGAATATTTTTTAAACTTATTTTCTTTTTTAAATACGATAATGACGTGGACGAAACTTGTTTGTTAATGCAATGTTCTTTTCAGCCATCTGTAAGAATCTTAAGTATAGTAGGGATGTAACTTGATTGATTTTGATATATTGATGAAATGGATTAACTATAAAAGATTGTTTTTCTATTGGATTGACACTCGGTTGTCTTACCATGCTTAGTTATGTAGTATTTTGAAAACGTTATACATCTAATAATCTATAAGTCTATAACCAAACAATTTAAATTTAATTCATCATCTTGTCAAAATTTTGATAAATCTATTGAATTTCTTGATTAACAACATTGTACAGTTAATATGCTTGTATATCTGATTTCTGAACACACATCACCACCTGATTCATCATTGTATACCTGTAAAAGTTCTTTGTAGAAAAAAAGTTTAGTTAATTTTCCCTATCATAAGTAAAGTGAGAGTACATGTTTGATATCTAATTGCTAGGTGGAGCGCTTAGTAGACCGTGTTAACAACTCAACATTGCTGGAGGATCGTAGAGATGCTTGCCGGGCACTCAAGGCAATGTCACGCAAATACCGCGTTGAAGTTGGCGCACAAGGCATGGATACTCTTAAACAGGTATTGTCCATTCAATTCTGAATTTACCCGATATTAGTTATCTTACTTTAATTTATTTATTTTTATTTATTTATTTATTTAGGTAACAAACAGTCACATAAGCAACAATACAAGAGACAATTATATACAAAAAGACCTATAGTACCCTAGTTTGCAGAAACAATAACAAAATTAAATTAAATAGTGCGTATGTAAGTGACGGATACAAAATACAAATATATATATATATATATATATATATCTATAGACTACAATAAAAATAAAAATAATTAATAATAACAAGTAACTAAAAAATATACGTCACTTTTTATCCTTATTGAACTAATAAAGCAATCGCTAAAATAATAATATAAATAATAATAACTAACTAACTAACTAACTAACTATATACTACATAATATACTATTTAAAAATAAGTTCGCCCACTTTTTTCTTAAAACTATATAAACTATTTGCAAACACATCGACCTCACCTAAAAGCTTATTATGATATGTACAAGTTCGTCTGAAAAAGGTATTTTTAGCATAATTTGTATGACAAAATGATACGTGAAAGGTAGACTTAGAACGTGAGGAGATACGAGGTACATGAAACTCAACTTTGTGTAAAAGATCAGCTGAATCAATATGATTATTAATGATCTTGTATAAAAATAAACTATCCAAGTAACAACATCTAGAAACCAGCGAATGTACATTATGCCTTTTCGCACTCTCTTCATAATTATCATAGCATAAACCAGAACGGTAGTCAAAGGATTTTAAAAATTTCCTTTGTAAACTCTCTATTCTATCCTGATGAACAATATATTGAGGGTTTCAGACCACACTACCAAACTCTAAAATACTGCGAACGTAGGCATTGTATAATATTTTAAGAGTACTTCCCCTAGTAAATGGTTTTCCTAGGCGAAGGATTAAACCTAGTTGTTTATAAGCCCTAACCAATATACAGTCAATATGTTTATTGAAATGCAATTTGGAATCTAATGTGACACCTAAGTCACGAATAAAATCCACACGAGCAATGTTTCGACCAGATATACTGTAATTGTATTTAATTGGGTGAGATTTGCGACTAAAGGTTATGACGTAGCACTTATCTATATTTAGAGGCATACAATTATTTGAACAAAAACGCTCAAAACTATATAAATCTTGCTGCAATTTTGCACAGCCATCCGAGCTTTGAACTACCCTATAAATTTTTGTATCATCTGCGTAAAGTAGGTGATGAGAGTTTGAGAAACAGAGGTTAATGTCATTAATGTATAGAGAAAATAGAAAAGGACCAAGATGAGATCCCTGAGGAACGCCTGACGGGATGTTTAAGAATCTAGATCGGTAGCCCTTAAGTGCAACCGCCTGGCAGCGATTGCCAACATAAGATTCTATCCATCTCAACAAATCACCATGTATACCGATTCTCGAAAGTTTCTGTATTAGCATGGAATGATTAATTTTGTCAAACGCTTTCGAAAAATCAGTATACACAGCATCCACTTGATAACCATCATCAAGAGCATTCAGCAAAAAATCAGTATAAGTGACCAAATTAGTATTAACACTGCGCCCTGTACAAAAACCATGTTGTTCTGTTATTATTGAATGATGTAGTTGAATTGTCAAAAAGGAAGTAACCATTTTTTCAAAAATTTTCGCGAGTATACACAATTTTGAGATGGGCCTGTACTGCTTTACGTCATGCCTGTTACCACCCTTTGGGATAGGAGTCACGAGTGCCTTCTTCCATATAGTTGGGAAGCAACCCTCAGAAATAGATTTAGTGTAGATAATAGTGAGTGGTACTGATAACTCATTACAGAGTTTGCGAATTACTATAGGGTGAACATTATCGAATCCAGCACCCTTATTAATATTCACCTGTTTAAACGAATTAGCAACAGTACACTGGGTAATTTCTACCGAAGACAAGCTAATTGAAGAAAAATTGCTACCACATACCAAGGGATCAGCACTACAAATAGTGTTATGACATTCGAAGACTGAATTAAAGTAGTCATTAAACATGTTGCTTATAGTTTCAGCGTCTGTTGAAGACTTATCATTGAATGTCATATAGGCAGGAATATTATGACTACCCTGTTTAGACTTTATAAAGGACCAGAAGTATCGAGGGTTTTTTGTTATTTGTTCTTCAGAAAAATCTATGTAATTTTTATAGCAAATCCGCTCGAGTTCTTTCTCTCTACTACGTAAACTTGAAAATAATTGGTAATCACCATCATTTCTATATTTTTTCCATTTAGCATGTACCTTCAACTTCCGACGAACAAGTTTTATCAGAGTACGCGAATACCATGGGGGAAAATTAGATTGTGATGCCACTGACTTTTTTGGGATATATTTATCTATTAATTCGTTTAAGATACTGTAAAAATAATTGGTTGATTGTTCAGTAGTCAAGCCTCTTAGTTGTTTCACCCAGTCGACAATCAACAGTCCCCTACTGATTTCCACAAAATTAGCTTTATGATAAATGTATTTTAATTTATATATAATAAATTAGTGATAACAAAAGTTTATAGATATTTAAGAAACATTGCATTACCACTCTCTCCCTAATGTACTAATATAATAGCCATTATGAAGTACACAAGTGAAAAGTAAAATTGTATACATTTTCAAAACTCATGCTCAATTTCAACAGTTGTAACTCAGTGGGCTGGGATTTCATACTTTACTGTAAACTATTGCCTTGGCTTATCAAAACTCATACTTGTTGATCTGTATCCAAAATAAGGAATAAACTGTCAGATACAAGAAAAGTTATATTTAACAAAGCATTACTGATATTATTTACTCTCAAATTATACTTTCCCCCTTAGTAATAATTGAACAAAAAGTGTTACAGTGAAAATTCTGTAATTAGGTGTAACATATCTGTGAAGTGTTAGTATTTTATGAACTACTTACAATGATGATTAAGAATGTAAGTATGTCAACACTATTCATAAAAAAAGATACATTGTAACTGAAAAAATTAGGAAATAATAATAAAAAACCTAAGGCGTGTTTACTCCAGCTTGTCGATGATCTGTGTCGTCTGCCATCTTCGCCGAAATTAGCAAGTCGACATCGCGACACGCATACCGTGTTGGAATGAGGCCGCCGACACACTGAAACCTTATCGGTCGACATTCATTCGCTGAAGGCAACCAAGCCACTTGACAGTCGACTGGGTTGATTTTGCGGTGAACTATCGGTAGTCAAATGACTGTGGTAATCAGCCTTTCGATGGAATAGAATACGTAACCATCTGATTTGACAATTTGTATGTATTTGGACTGTACTAGTTGCCCTATGTATTCATATGATACTTTCACACATTTTTTTACTATCTGTATTTTCTTTATACATTCTGTTATAGGTGCTAGAGCTGGACCGTCAAGATAACGAAACAATAAACTACGCTCTCGATACGCTTAACAATGTTATGTGTCCCGCACAATTTGAAGAGGAAGAAGACAATCCGCACGTCCCCATGAATATTGGTGAGCAATTCACCGAAATGTACATCAAGGACCCCCAAAACATACAAGTCCTACTGGATTTGCTAGACGAATATGACTTCAGAGTCAGGCTATCTGCTGTGCATCTGCTTATATCACTTTTGACAAACAGAGCGAAGGATATTCAAGAAATCATACTCGTAAAACCTATGGGGGTATCTAAAATGATGGATTTACTGTCAGATACAAGAGAAGTTATACGTAATGAAGCATTATTGCTATTGATAAAACTGACTAAAGGAAATGCTAACATACAGAAAATTGTAGCATTCGAAAACGCATTTGATAGACTGTTTGATATTGTCTCTTCAGAAGGTTATTCGGATGGAGGAATTATTGTTGAAGATTGCTTATTACTTATGTTGAATTTGTTGAAGAATAATAGTAGTAATATTAACTTTTTTAAAGAAGGTAGTTATATTCAGAAGATGTTACCAATGTTTCAAACACCAGACGAGAATGAGGACCTAGGTTGGTCACCGCAGAAGGTTTCTAATGTGCACTGTATGTTACAGATAGTACGTACATTGGTATCACCTAGTAATTCAGCTCAGATTATATCTAGTTGTCAGAAAATTATGAAGAAAACAGGATTGCTAGAATCTCTGTGTAATATTTTAATGGCAAGTGGAGTTCCAGCTGACATTTTGACAGAGACAATAAATACTGTGGGAGAAGTAGTTAGAGGAGATGTGACAAATCAGGAGTATTTGGGAAGTGTGATGGCGCCTTCGAATCCTCCAAGACCAGCAATAGTCGTGCTCCTGATGTCTATGGTTAATGAGAAACAGCCATTTTCGTTGAGGTAAGTTGATAATATAATCTCCATCACTTTCTCTAACAAATTCCTTAACCTAGCCAAGTTTATTTATTTTCAAAATGCACACCAACAGCATGTGTATTAATACATTTAAAGAACTTAAGACTAAGAAGAACAAAATCCGACACAAGCCAATTATAGGTGTACACAACATTCAACACTAACAATTAGAGGCCGAGTAAACTAATACATGATTATTCATAATAGAAACAATCAATAAATTAAAAATTAAATAAAAAGCATTAAAAGAATAGACAATCACACAATTAATTAATTGGGTGCCCTCGCAAATATGTCGCACTTGACAACTAACACAGTATTATCCAAAAAATTGCATTATATTATATTTTATTTCAAAATTGCGATATATTAATCATTTATCATCAAAATTTCGCTATATTTGTATGTCATTCGTACACGACTTAATTTCAAAGTGACAGGACAACACTGTCGCTTTGAAATTAAGTAGGTAATAGTAATATAATTTAAAGCAATTTAGAAATAGTACTATGTTAGTTGTCACGTGCTATGTGTTTTTAAATGGTGGATTTGTACTTTGCAAGGGAATCAAAAAACATATCGAGGTCAGGTAAAGACTGAGTTCGTTATAAGTGCAGCAAAGATGAGACGAGAGATGAAGATGTTAAAAGAATAAATAGTAAACGGCATTCTTATATTATTTTATTCATCTTCTTGTTGTTATTCTATATCATTTTATTGCATAATTACCAACTGGAACTTGCAAGTTGACTGATTTGTACAAAACGCCTAAAAATTTTCTCTGGTAGTATAACCATGGATGTAGGCAAAGTAACCCATACAAAACTTATTTATTTGTCCCTTTTTCACGCGCAAAAAATTGCATTGCAAGTGAAAAGTACCGACCTGGCTTCGAGTTCGAAAAATTAGTAACGCACAAGTGTAAACGAAAAATGTCTATAGTGGACAGTCGCGTCTCAGTTAGTATTCAGTTGAGTCCAATTTAAAGTTATTAAGTTGCTGAAATAATTAATAAAATATAAGTGGCAGTTACTTCTCAGGGCGAACTCTTACACCACCAGCTCTACTGCTGCTACACCAAGTTAACAACTAAATTTATAGATGCGCCGTCCTGTACTGCTTCCAATGCTACCTGTACCACAATGAGGTGAGCCAGGCGAACCTCGTCCAAACCTTGCTGCCATCCGCCACCGACGTGTCGAGCCTCACCAGCGGACAGTTACTTTGTGGAGGTGTGTATCGCAATCATAAACGGCAGTATATTTATATTATTCAGGATTATCTGTAAAATACAAACACATGGTTATTTGTAATGTACAGAAAACGGTAGATAGGGAGTTGACGAGGCGAGGTGGCCAGTCCCATATCTTTTTTGTTTATAGTAACCTTCAATATCAAACTCTTGTTTTCTTGTGCACAAGAACCATCTAAGTCAGGTCCTAACCCCAGATCAGCCCGTTTGCACGGACTTCATCCGGTTCTCTGTAAGGCTAGTAGTGCATTAGATGAGCCGTCTCGGGTGCACATGCAGTATCCTCCCTATTTTCCAGATAGGTACCAGAGCTGTAGGCATGCTCACTTCCCGTTGCGCATTGCAAAACTAGCGGTTCCCACCGCTAAGCGGTTGACTCAATCTCCTCATTAGTGGCGGTGCTGTAAGCCACGCTCACTTGTCGACGCCGAAAAAAAATGTCGTCTCCAGTTCCCAATATCCTAAGCAGCTGGAGGGGCTGGAGGATATTATCTAACTCATCGGCGACTCAACTCTACTAGCTCTCCAAGTAAGTGCCGGAGATACCGGTCGCAGTACACTGTGACCATGTCCGGACATAGCTTCCGATTTAAAGGGCAACTTACGCGCCCCGCGTGTCTCCTCGCCTCAGGCTCTCATCTAGACTGCTACTAAGATGCGCTAGCTGCACGCGGGATGAACGTCCCGGCCACATGCTACCGGGGCAGACGATGATTTAGATTTTAGATTAGATAATACAATATATTATATAATATATTGTATTACAAGAATCGTTACAAATAGTAACAAATGTTCATGTTCATCCTTACGGCGCACAGTGGGCCCAAATTGATAATTCTTGGACATAGGAATAACAATTGGAGTACCTACCGAGCTAATTTTTTTATGTGATAGATAATAACATTCCTAACAACTTTTATTCTTGTATAATTCCTTGAAAAGTTGATAGTTTCGGCGAAAAAATATTTTTTTTTTGTATGGAGAAATATACATTTTATTTTTTATCTCAAAATATACGAAAATGTAATGTGCGTGGGTTACTTACAGTATAGTTCCAATCATTTGCTATGTAGAAAAAAATAATCCGTCTTCATGTACTTGCGGCTTTGTAAGCAAAGGTGCGGCAAAATTGGTAACTTTTTTTATGTACTTTGTTAACAAAATACGTGAGCTACGACTAAAGCAAAATTAATTTTAGTATAATTTAGAGAATGATATAACAATAACACGAAAATTAAGTAGAAACTAGTACATTGTGTTAATAAATAAATAACAAATCTAAAATTTTGCCACCTTTTTACTTGTAAAGCCGCAAGTACCTGCAGATGGATTATTTTTTTCTCGATAGAGAATGATTGGACCTATAATGTTTATATGTGGTTTATTTACAATAAACCACACACATTACATTTTCCTAAATTGTTTTCTCTGAAACAATCAGCTTTTCAAGAAATTACATGACAATAAAAGTTATCAGGAATGTTATTATTTATCATATGAAAAAAATCAGCTCTGTATTCCTAAAATTGTTCCCATGATTAAATAATAATTTAGCCTATAATTTATACTTTTTATTTCCGGCATTTTTTAATCAGCTTTTTTTCTCCAAAACTATCAACTTTTCAAGAAATTATACAAGAATAAAAGTTGTTAGGAATGTTATTATCTATCACATAAAAAAAACTTAACTCGATATAACCAAGAATTATCAATTTGGGCCCACTGTGCGGTATCACTGGCGGAAGGCTTGGCCTGGACGCCCGCCGTACCCTGGTCGTGTCGTTGAGCCCGTAGTCTGTCTGGAATACTTTATCTCTCGGGGCGGTAGATAGGGACAAACCAAGGTGGCCAGTTGTTATTTAGCAGAACCATATCATAAGTGGCAGCTGTACTATACGCGATTTGTGATGTTGTTTCATCAGGTTTATTCTCTGCCGACGCGCTGTCGAATTGGTTCGCATCAGCAGCCCTAATGCGTGCGCTATGCGACAACCCTGCCCAGAAAGAGCTGCTGCTAAGAGTGCTGTTGGCGACGAATATCGGGAGCACCCCAGTCACTTTGCTGCATCATTGCACTTTGCTGCTGCAGCAGACTACTAAGCTGCAGTCGAAGGTAAGCGAAGGAATTCCTTTACTTGAGATAGGACGGTCGCGAGTACAGTCAACGAAGGCGCCGATTCGATTATTCAAAAGTTGTCAAAATTGTAGTAAAACAAGTAACTTATACAGTGTTCACTGATTTAAACTTCCACGATTTTCACACATTATTTGATTTTAAATTCGGCACATAATCGTGTACAAAAACATATCTTATTTACCTCCACGTTTCGGTCGTATTGCAACGTCCATGGTTTCGAAGGGACTCTAAAGAAAGGAAGGAACAAAAGGGTCCCTTCGAGATCATGGATTATTCTAACAGAATACTAGACCTCACGAAATCTGCCCAACGAAAGAGTAGAAATTTTTAATTAATTTAACTGTTTAAAATGTAATTTGCTTACCTATGAAATAAAGATACCATGTATATACCATGTTCACAGATTACTTAATAGTTACTACATAACAGATACATTACTCTCATACAAAATCGAAAATACCCACGCATAATACTACTAAATCTGACTAATGAAACCAGGCGCTCACTAC